TCAATCCGGAAGAATTGAAAAATGACAACATTCCATCAAGATATTCAAATTCTTTACATATTATCAATCCGGATGAATTGAAAAATGATAATATCCCATCAAGATATTCAGACTCTTTACATATGAACACAATTATCAATCCGGAAGAATTGAAAAATGATTAATAGGTACGTATCATTTTTGTGCGTAGTTATTACTGTAATAAAAGAATATATAAATAATATCACCTTTTTTTATTTAGATTCTTGAAAACCTCAAAATTTTATGAAAATATAAAATATTCATTTGTTCGCTTATATATTGTTATAATATTTTCTTTTACTCACTATTATTCTTTTCATCACTGCGACTTTTATAATTGGACCTAAATTAAGAACCCCGAATTATTATTTGATTTTCGTGATTATTATGTATCTACCACATGACGCATCTATCAAAATGATCCCTAAATCTAATAAAACCAATATAATTATTGCGTCAAACCAATCTGCTCACCTCAAAACCAATCTCTATTTCTTTAAAGTTGATCTGTTTTATGTATTTATTTATTTATTAAATATTTCAACTCATATTAACACATCCGTCAAATATGCGTCATAATTTTTAGGGGAATATAAAAAGTCGCCGTAATCATGATTTCGCACTATTTCATTTTTTTATTCCAATATTAATGAAAAAAGGATTTCTCTTTCAAGCCTGTAGTATTAAGAACTGGTATTGATTTAAAATAGTTACCCGTTAGATATTCAGTTATATTGGATAGTATACATTATTTGCAGATAATCAGATATCCATTTAACTTTTTGATACTTCAACTAATAATCATAGTATTATTAATAAATGCATTATATAACCTATGTAATATGGGTTTTGGATTTTTTTTACAACTTATTTATCGTTTGAAATTTTTATTATTATTTGAATGATAGTATCGCTACTACATACTCAATGGACCAACCAATCAAAGGAAAAAGAGAAAATTTATGATATTTGCTCACTCACTGTGCGTTAGGGTGTTCAATAAACTAATTAATCAAAACATAGTTAGGGTCATTAAGTTCGGATTTTTTAAAGGGTTATTTCACATATAAATTTATATATGAATTTGTACTAATTTAGGTACATTTTTCTACACAACTAACAGACAAAATTGTACCATATTTTTTTTTAAACTGAAGTTCTAGACTAGCTCTACACTGTAACAGAACCAGTTTTTATAACCTATGTTAATTATTAATAAAAATTAATCCAAAATTTTAGTCTAGAACTACAGTTTTAAAAACATATACAATTTTGTTTGTTGGTTGTGTAGAAAAATGTACCTAAATTTATAAGTTAAATAACCCTTTAAAAAATCCGAAATTAATGATCATCATATATGACCCTAACTAAGGTTTGATAACACCATAGCAGGTAAGACAAAGCATGTGAGAATCAAAAGGTGGTGTCAAGAGAAGGGATACGGCGTAAGAAGATCAAAGACAAATAAGATTAATATACAACAATGGCATGAATGAAGAACTAAATAACGAAAGGCACCATAGTGGATAAGTAAACGGAGAAGACAAAAAGCCACTTACACAAGCGCTTGAACTCCTCCAAAAATGAAGGCACGTGATTCTATCATTTATTCCACTTAAAAAATCTGACCGATCGGCCGAGGATTTTGAATCCATGTAATGCAAAACGAAAATTCAACTTTGCGTGGCCTAATCTTTACTCGATCATGATTTTACCTTGGTTTTATTTCTGAAGCCTGGCCCTAATTCCAATCTAATCCTAATCTTGTGTCTTAAATTCAGTTCAATTTCTGGTTTGATAACGACCCGTGATGAACTTGCTCATGTACATGTGATCCAGTTATTTCTGCATAAAGATCGATAATACATTGGTTATATAACCAACTCTGAGAATGACATTTTGATCTTATTATCATCAAAATAATGAAATTTATTCTCCAAATTCGGAATGAACATTGATTACGTGGCAGATTTTATGTAACGGTCTGAAATTCTCGCAAATTTTTGTCATAAATCGTTCCAATATTAAATGGTTTACTATCAGAAGATCTTTCTTTGTCTTGTATGAATTTTCGACCTATTAAAACTTCCTGTATAATATAAGATTCTATAGATTTTAATTCTTTTTTTTAAAAATTCAAAAAAACTCCTGCATTCATTCTTCTCGATTCTTTTTCTTTATTACTGCAATATCGACTTTTCCTTGAACAAAATCCATGCCAGCAACTTTCTATAAATATTAAATTTTGCAATTATCTTTATTAACTCCTCTTTCAATTCACTATATATTCCGTCAACATCACTCTTATCAACTGTTAATTAAACCCTTCTGACAATTCTAAAATCGGCGAGTCAGTCTATTGAGAGAAAGAGAAAGTAACTCCGTGTTACCAACAATTGGGTTGTGTTTAGTCGAAAAAGTCGTGTTAGATTTGGCTGAGTGGTTAGTCAAAGTTTTGTGATGGTTTTAGGAAAGTAATAATAAACTTAGCGAATGTATGGGTTTATTATGTATTATATTAAAGATAGAATTGTATGTTTTTAATAAAGACATTTTTAAGATTATAAGAATGTATTAATAAAGCAAAGGCGAGAGTTGTTCTTCCTGAAGGGCCAAAATGGCCTTTGTTTATAATAATGAATTCAACTATTTACATTTGCAAGAATTATCTATATTACTATAATCCCCAAATTTGACTTATAACCAAGAGCACCAGCATTATCAGAACTCTCTATATTACCGAAATTATCATAATTGCCATTATTCACGTTCTGACTTTTCTGGATTACTGCCAGATTGGGCTTTTCTGGATTTTCTCGGTAAGTCCGGATTTGGAAATACTGAGGTCAGGAGGGCACGTGCCTGCTTCAGGTCACGTCTTCGGACTCACAATTGGGATGTGTTGGTTAAAAAAGGTCTGTTATAAAAGTCTTGTGAATGTAAAAGTTAAACCGATATTGCCACGGGTTAAAGCTTAAATACGTGCCCTTGATGTGATTTGGTGGTACTAAAAGTCCAAATGACTCGAGCGACAAGAATATTGTGAGGCTCCTAGGTGGCGGATGATACAGATCAATCCCGGTGGTTAGTTACTCCCAACATGCGATAAACTAGATTGAGAGTAATCATTATAGTAAATATTTGGTACAGCCATTGTGAGAAATATTTTGAGCAACAAACCGAAGACTGATTGCCAAGAAGATAAGGCTGGGATTAAAGATAGCGCAGTAGCTCTTAGTGAAGTAAAATGTATTTAAGGCCTGAGTTTCTGATTTAGTAAAGTTTCCTCCGACAATGTCTCAGACTACGATCCAGAGAACCTTGATGTTTTAGTTGTGGGTTATATAATAAGAATCGGATTCTCACATGTGTTGTATTTGAATTTTATGTATTGTACAGTTATTGGTTTTATTCTTTATTATCGTTGTATTATTTATTTCTTTTATTATTATCATCTTGCATTTCTTATTTTATTGTTATATAATAAACCCCTCCCGATAAGTAAAGTTGATCTATTAAGTGATAACCCCGATCCTGCTTAAGTGTTTTGTGACATCATATCACGTGTACAAGAGTTATAAATCCTGAATCAAGTGAAGCATCAGAGTTAAATTTGATTAACATCCTCCCAACCAATGGCCACAAGAAATTCAATACATGTTTAGCTAAAATTTTTGAGATACATTTTTAGATTTTAAGGGGCCCCATATTCGTTTGATACTACACCAGCTTTGCTTTTGAATAGGAAAATCATACGTACGTACGTACTGTACGTGCGTACGTGCATGATTGGGGTGTACAACATCAGCCTAATTACAAACATAGTGCAGGTCATATAATGATGCTCACACGATAATTTAATAGTAAAAACATAAAAAGCTCAAGCTGCAATAACTCTTGAACCAGCAAACCCACGCAGTTATAATTATATTTGTCGGGTTCATTATAATATGCTCTTTAATGTGATACTGTAACGCTCTTTTTTTTTATTTTTATTGTCTGGAGCGTAGCGGGATAATAATATAATACCAAAATTCTCGTTTTTGATTAATTATTAATAAAAACATCAAAAATGTAACTTTGAATTTTTGTGCATATTGTGACACAATGTACAATAGCTACGTTTTTGATATTTTTTTTAACAATAAACCGAGAATTTTGGTACTATATTATTCCTCCACTACGCTCAAGACAATAAAGGTAAAATAAAAAAAGAACGTTGTCACATTAAAGAGCATGTTATAATGAACCCGGCAAATATAATCTTATTTGTGTGGGTTTACTGGTTCAAGAGTTATTGCAGCTTGAGCTTTCTTCGTTGATCTGCAGTTCAATATAAAAAATCTTGATTAGTTATCATCATTATATGACCTGCACTACTGCACTATATTTGTAAGATGTAGATTAATTTGTACAACCCGAATGAGATGGTTCGTGATTTTTTACCTAATTTGGGTACGGGAGTTGGCACTTTTTCGAATTCTAAACCCAATTTGAAAACCAAACATGTGCTTATTTATTTTGCATATCCCAAACCTCAAGGACCAATCAACTATACAAAAAAACATGATGTAGGGAAATTATTTAAATAATTCTCCTGCATCAGACAATTTATTACTTTACGATACGCGCTCTTGCTAGCGATTCATAAATTAGGGTTACAACGCAGTTACGACAAAATTACCGAATCTAATTAAAACCTTTGGGAATCTACTAAATCCTAGGTTTGGTTTACATCGCTAGTATATACGTATGTACTATTTTTTAAATTAATATCAGGTATAATACTACATAATACCGTGTAATTTGGTTCGAAATATTTCGGATGCCTTTTTATGGAAACATTCGGAGGCAATTTAAATTGGCTAAACCATTTTACTATTGGCATTATAATTTCAAGTTTAGGTGTAACGTAACACAATTAAATCTTTAACAATCGCAATTACTGAATTAACGTCGGAAAAACTTTTCATTTCATTATGGATTCAACACCAAAAGAATTATTAATTAACGATTATTCAAAATTTTTTGAAGAGCGTGAAGAAACTGCTGATGTTGAAATCACAACATCAAACACCGAAAAAAAAATTTCAGCACATTCTTTAATCCTTGGTATTAGATCTGATTACTTTAAAAAGAGTCTTTCTGAAATATGGGCGAAAAAGAATAATTATGGAAAGTTTGAATTAGTATTTCCTGATATTGAATACGAAATCATGATTATTTTATTGAAGCATCTTTATTGTGCAGAGATTTACGATTCGGATGATTTTTACACACTTTCAAAAGTCCTAATCGCATCTGATAAATTCAATATTGTTAACCTTTCCGACCTCATCCAAAATATGATTTCTGAAAAAATTTTGATTTTCATCAATAATAATTTGTTCGATCTTTTCGAATTCATTATGAAATATCACCAAATATTTACTCTCATAGATAAGGTATTCATGGACGAAATCGCAAAAGACCCGAATCTTCTATTCTCATCTAAAAATTTTGTAAAATTAGATGAAAATATGCTGGAAAAAATCTTGTTATGCGATAACCTAATGATTTCGGAATTTAAGATTTGTGAACATTTAATCAAATGGGGCGATGTGGAAAATAATAGTATCAAGTTTGATTCACTATTTCATTTAATTCGCTTTCATCAGATGAAAAAAGAAGAATTCTTTGAAATTAAAAAAAAATATAGGACCAAAGTCACATTTCCTGATGATTTATTAGACGATATTATTGGATTCTTTATGTGTAATTATCCACAAAATATTAAAAAATCACCGTTTAGGTTAGGAAACTATCAAAGATCTCAAATCATAAAAAATCATGAAGATTTCTTGGAAATTTCATCCTGGATTGATAATGATAGAGGAAAGAATTCATTTAGATTTGATCTTATATTCGACAATAAATTTTTTGGCAGTAGTTTTAACGCAATTCCGTTCCATACTATATGTGATGGAACATTTTCTACTATCATTTTCTTTGATCTAATCGGAACGACTGTTGGTGGATATAACCCTCTCGGTTGGTTTAATGATAACAAATATCGACTAAGTAATAGTAGTTTTCTTTTTGCCTATAATGATGATAATTTAAAAAATACAACAATATCCCGTGTTATAGAAAATGTGAAAGCAATTGGAGGAAGTAAAAATGACGGTCCTTGGTTTGGTGAAGGTCCAGATCTTGTTGTCCGACATAATGCAAACCAAATTGAAATGAAATCTAAAACATACAACAAACTGCTTGATTTGAAAGGAAAATATTTATTTCGTAATATAGAAATTTTTAAAGTAACTAGAATATATGAAACATAAAGATATTTTTTTTATTTATGATTATATGTTTGTACGTGGGGGTTTTTTTTTTAAATAATAATTTTATCAATAATAATCTATCACTATACGATCTTTTTAAATTCATCATGGATTAAGACTTGTGAATAATGCATTCATGAACGAAATTGTAAAGAATTCAAATCTTTAATTTAAAATAAATATCAAATACCGTATACTTCCGAAATTAAGCACCCTTTTTTTGTTATATGGGTGCTTATTTTCGGGTTATAATGTGATTGATACAAACTGGTTTTAACCAGTTTTTATCCTAGCAACTATTTAAAGGGGTGCTTAATTTCGGGTGAATATAGAATGTGGGGTGCTTATTTTCGGGGGGGTGCTTAATTTCGGAAGTATACGGTAAAAAAAATACTACTATGTGACTATCTCATTATTTCGGAGTTTAAATTTTGTATTTATTATTAGAATGAAATTCAAGCTCGAATCATTATCCAACTTATTAGATACCATCGAATGAAAAAGGGTCTTTGCGCATAATTCGAAACTAAATTATCGACTCCGAATGATTCGTTATATGATACTATCTGAATTTTCGTGAATAATCATCCTCAAACCATGCGTAGATTTCCGTTTAGATTAGAAAATTATGACACGAGAATCATTAAGAATTGGGATTTCCTGATTGTTTTTAAGTAGTTTGATGAAAATATAAAAGTTCTTACGTGTAGGTTTGGTTTAATATACAACTGCAATAAATTTAATCTTGCTATATTCCATAAAACGTGCAATGACGTTGAAATTACAACTGTTTTCTTGTATTTAAAAGAATGGATAGCTAGGGCATTGGTTTGATCAGATATCGGATATTTTTTGAATTTGTCATAATTCTGGTCAAATTTTCAGATTATTTTACCCTTTTAATGAGTTTTATACCGATACAGTATAATAGAAATTGCCTCATTCAGCTAACTAATAATTTAATCAATGATATTTATATGGCTTTTACTCACATTGCTCGGCCTCATTACAAATCTGGACCTTTTGCTTTTACATCATAAATATCGTTTCACTTAAATCCAACCTATACTATTTATATAGTATCATTTTGTTTCTACTGTATCGCTTCGCTCAGCCTCATACTTTTTTCACCTTACTAAATTTAGAGATGATTATACAGTAAATTCTTTCGTTGAGATTATTGTCTTTGACTAGAAATCTAGAAATTGCACATTTGAGCAGTTAACTAGGGATGTGTTCGGTCTGGCTATCGGCTGGCTTTTATCTTATATCCGGCTGAGCCGCGGCTATAGCTGATCAAATCTTATTAAGTGACAAAATGACATGAAGTCATATTAGTGGATCTATATTATCTGATAAATAGAGGAACCCTTTATTCATAATTCTGGTCAAATTTGCAGATCATTTGGCCAGATCTAGAACAAACAATTTTAATTTTGGTCAAATGATCTGCACAATGCAGATTAAAAACAATCAAATTTGACCAGAATTAGATTGTTTTGAGAATGGGAATGTTGAGATTTTCTAGGAAGACATTTATATGATTGGTTAATTACCTGTGATTTCCCGTGATAATTAACCAATCAAATATTAGTACCACGATATTAAATAATGAAAAAAAACCTCGTATAACGAAGCTTGCAAACTAATAAACACACGCGAAAGAATTTAGATATGCGTAAAGTGGGCAAATAAGATATTTATTACTAATAAACCCAAACTATTAAAGAATCTACCATATAAGTTATAAATTAAAAACTATTAAAATTTTAAGACAAATTTAAATATTAAGCCAGGATCTTCTTGTTAAAGAGCTTTACCTATTCAAATTAAACAGAAATAAAAGCTTATTTGAATCTAACATAATAAAATAGGTTTGGACGAAAACATTTCTGGTCTACAGTATATTTGATATGGTCAAATAAACAGTAGGCATATTTTGTCTTCTAAGTAAAGTTTGTGAGGATGCTGATTATTTTTGCATAGTGAATATAGACGTTCTATCGAAGCGAAAAATGGCTTTTGTGATGATTTTTTATTAGTGAAACGTTGTGTTCCTGAAAAGTACTTTAAAGTGTATAAATCAGTTACCCGGGCAATTGATTTACATCAACCAATCAGAGGAATGTCCTCCAACAATGCCAGAGCACAGGATCATATTTTCCATACACGCTTTGCAAAATTTACGTTTATCACGAAATATTCGCCTTTATGGCCCTATAAAAAATATTCCTCGCGCAATTTTACTATACTATAGCTCTCAAGCCCAAACCCTAACATAAATAATTTTTTTTATAATGTCGGAAAATCGATCCTATGCCTTGTCAATTTCACCAAAGTGCTATCTTGTCAACCTAAGCATAATTGTTATTTTTATCACCCAGGACGTGAAAAATCTGTCACCAGCTACAATTTTAGCCGGTCAGCTAAGCCATTCGGTCGGCTAATATTGGCTACGGCTAATAGCCGGCTATAACCGGCTATAGCCATAGCCGTTCCCATCTCTACAGTTAACTAATAATTAAATAATATAATAATTAAATAATAATTAAATATAGCAGCTGATGTGACAATAGCATAATGCTACCAATTACAGATATTTATTTTAGTAAAAAAATCGAAAGTACATTTTTTAAGGTTTAAATTTACGTTCTCAATAGGATAACTCAGTATTCAGCGCACGAATATATTTTAAAATATAAATAGGAAATGCGCATAAGGCCATTCGAAGTTAATTCTACGGTTAACATCACTTTTAGAACTCTTGGGGAAGGGGGTAAACATATAAAAATGGGTCAATTTCGTTGGTTGACGTAAATCAAATAATTGGTGAGAGTTATCCAGCGTTTTGATTGGTTTTTAATTTTTGTGGGGATACTTCAGTGGGGATGTTAACCGAAGAATCAACTTCGAATGGCCAAACGACAACCTTTATGCATTGCCTTATTCAAACTTAACACCTTTTCATTTTACTGATAATAATTCACGTTAAATTGAAGAATCAAATCATGTTTCATAGTCACAGGGGCATAACCTAAATTTAGAAATGATCATAAATTCTTTTGCTGCGATCTTTCATTCGATCAGTAATTATCCATTCATTTGTCCGGTAAAAATTCGGCAAAAAGTAAAAAAAAGACTAAAAGAAGCTTTTTTATCACCTAACGCTAGATTTTTCATTTGAGGCGGAAGTAAAATTTCCTTTTCAAGAATTGCAAGGAAACTTTGATTGTAATCTGTACAAAAAATTACATGGTTTAACCTACAGTATATTCAGCCACTATTCAGCCTATATTCAAGAAAAAGCTGATTCAATCTAGTTCAGGCGTCTTAATAGGATAATATATCAGTATACGTAGTACCATACTGATCTGTTCACTTAAGCCATAGTAATATTGTCTATTGTAGTGGTAGTCTAAGTACTGAAGTATATATTATATTAAATTACAATTAATATCGTGAAAATTATATAATAGACAATATGTAATTTAAAAATACTTTCATTTATTTTCGCTTAATAATATTTGCATCACTTATTTTCTCTACAAATGAGAATATGAAGAAATGAGTAGGTTAGTGATGAGAATTTTTTAATTTTTTATTTTATGCTTAAAATCATGTAACATCATTAGATCTTAACTAATAAATAAAATTTTATAATATTAAAAACTTATATTACTTATTGTTAAAAAACCCATCACTAAATATAGACAGTTCTTCGGCGACCTTGTCTGAATTACTGACAAAATAGACATCAAGCACCAAATGGATTACCGACTTTGAAAAAGCTGCTCCTATTAAGGCACATATCCGTATGTGCTGAAATAAAGGATGCTTTTTCCATTTATGCCAAAGTGTATGGCGTAAAATTCAGGATCATGGGTTAGTTACAAAATATTGCGATAATATTTTACTTCAGCCGCATGATTTTACGAACTTATAAATGAGAGAAATAAACTTCGGGCCACGATAGCCAACATTTATTTGCCTTGCCATTCTTACCATCAGATAAAATTCCTGATGCTTTTGATGCCGTAATGCTTATGAATTAACTAAATGGTTTGAAAAAAATTATATTAAGAAATGATATCGATAATTATAGCAATCTGTGGCATACATTTATATATCCACAACTGTGGTCAGTAGAGCTGGGTATTCCACGGACACAAAATTCCGTGGAAGCCTGGCATAATAGGTGGAATATTCGGATCAACATTTGATTTTCTCCATTTCATTATTTCTGCTTTTCTCAATATCTTTGTTATTTTGATTATTTTCGATATTTGTGTTATTTTGTAAATTGAAGAAATCGAAAAGCGATTTTATTCTGTAAATGAAATTATATAAGATATTCAGGCTCACCTTCAATAAAGAATAACTTAGATAAAGTTCAACTCGATTAGAGTTTAATAAATCTTCGTTCACTAATTCTCTTCCGATAAATGAAATTATTGTAGAATTAGTCAATCCATGACCCAAATTAGCTTCGTGAGTAACTTAGAGTTCTAATCTAACACCCTAATTACCCAACAAAAGCTAACTACTCCTATTAGAGTTTAGGTTAGATAGTATTTAGTGTGTTGTTTTAGATTAGTTTTAGAATTGGATATCATATGAGATTCGAGAGCATTTACCACTTTTAAAGCACACACGTTATAAGTGCCAAATTCGTGTTTCCATTGTTTTTTTTTTATTTGCTCTCAGTTAAAAGTTACACCAGACTTACTCAGTCATCACTTTGGGTTAGTCTTGTTCTAGATGAGTTCATTCTCTGGAGTTTCTTTTTCAAAGTCTCAAGTTCGAATTTATATGAGCATAGAATTTCCTAATTGAATTATTGGAAAATTAGATGAAACAAAATCTGGTAAAATGATGTTTGTAAAATTATCAAGAAATATAAGATACTAAATTAATAAATTCAAGTTGATACTACATAAACTTTCTTTTTCGTTCTACCATTAAATATCTTAAAGGTCATTATAATAAATTTCATTTTATCCATCCAATGTTACTTTTATTTTGATAAATATTGCTAAAAAAATTCCTTATTAATAATTCTATAAGTTTATTCAAATTTCTTGAAGAAATAATATCTAATACATCTAATACAAACAACATTATTCAATTATATCAACATCATCAATATACTTTTTATCTATTTGGAAATTTTCATAGTCTTCTAATGAAAAATAAGATCTGTTATCCCGATCTACAGGCGCATTTCTAATTGGCTTTTCAAATGCTCTATGTTCACACCAACTTTTCCCATCAAGATTAAAACTAACAAGATCTAAAAATGATGGTCCACGACCCAAACTATTCTGAATTGCTTTGTTATTTGATTTTACACGACTTAAAATAGAATTCTGAATAGTACCATTTTTTAATGAAAAAATAAAACTTTCATTGCAATATAGATAACAATTACATTGTTCCCATCCAATAGGATTATACCCGCCAAGAATTTCATCAGTGTCTTTAACTTTACAAATTAAGACAACTTTCCTTTTCTTATTACATAAATTCCAAAATGCATTGAAATCAAAATTATTTCTACTTCCACGAATGAGTAATTTAAATTCATACGGATTATTTATTGTATAATATACAGTAGTTTTTTCATCAATCCATGAAGCAATTTCAGCTGCATGTTCTTCATAAATAATTGTTGAAAATGGTTCTGCCACTCTTGATGGTAAGATTGGTGTTGAAGTAATGCGAGGTGGGTGGATTATTGATGATACTGGTTGATTTTGATCCACAACTCTTTTCATTATATCTTTCCAAAGATTTTTTTCTAGGATTTGTTGGTATGGTAGTACATAGTCAATAATATCATTACCAGATATTTGAAAATAACGAATAATAGGCAAACAGTTTTGTAAAATAAGTTTTAAAGTTTGAAAATTTTCGGAAGTCCAATCATCAGGATCTGATTGTAAGCTTGAATTTTGAGCAATTCCCCATTTAATAACATAATTCCAATTTTTTCCTTCTTCCATTTGTAAATCATCTCGTTTAATAAGAGAGATTAATGCATTTTCTTGAAGAGTATTAAAGTCTTCAGAGTCAAAAACCTTATCTGGATATTTTACCACAATATCGTTACACCACTTTTGTAATTCTTGAAGTTGATTATTTTGAAAGCTTTTTTGATAAATTTCAGAGAAATGTAGACGAAGCCAATGATGTTGTTCTTTAATTAAGTAAGATTCAAGATGATTAGTTAACTCTTTAAAGGAAAACTCATGAGCGAGACACATTAACTTAAATAAGTGACGCATCATGGTTTTCTAGCAAAATTGCTCCTCCATAGATATATCTTTATTAAATTATCAATAAGTTCAATAATTTTTTAACAATATAAAACAATAAATCAAAAATTCGTTAAATAACTTACTTAATAATGACTTCAAATTGCTGAACGGAAATATGCTTTAGAGTAATCGTTTTAATATTATTTTCATCTTTGTTAATTGTTGCCAATTCATTTCGAAAATATAGAGATCTATATCTCAAAATAGCCGAATGTGCGTGGAATATTTTAGTGTCAGGAGATTCTCCAACTTCAATAATTACATTGAAATCTTCTTTATCACCAAGTAGTTCAAGATAATCGATTGAAAGTTTGTCAAGAAATTTTACTTCCATCTTTATCAATAATAATAGATGAGGATGAATTTCGAGTTTTTATTTTTTAAGAATTATTAAAACATTTGAATTTATGAATCCTGTTAATCTCATGTGATACACTCATTGTTAAAAACAAATGTAATATTCTAGTTTCACATATGACAATAAAATTTGATTGTCTCACTGATTTGGAAAGATCAAAGTTACGTATATTAAGAGAGAGTTTAATGCCTGCAGTCCTGTGACTAATCCGTTATCTCAATTTTTGTTAAACATTAATATTTGTGATAGTATTAAATAGAAATAATATATTTGTGCAGATAACACTTGCTCAATGATATTAAGCTAGCTTCCATAGCATGACTATGAATCTGCTTCTCAGGATACAAGTAAAATCCTATATTTCGTGACACTTATTTTATCCAGTTTGTTGGTGTTATAATGTTTAATGAACTTACGTTATGATTACTAAACAAGCAGATTCGAAAGTTTTAAATCCCAAGTTATCCATCTTAATCCAGTTCTTCACCGGTAGAATATCTACACAATTACTCGCATGTGAAAGCATAAGTATTTATTGTTCTAGACCTAAAAATAAAATCATAAAATTTATTCACTATTAAGCGAACTTTATAGACAGTGTAATAGTATTAAATTCAATCATATTTTAATTCATAATTTATGTTAGGCGATTACTTTTTGTGAGAGCGTGTATTGTTAAATCTGTTACCCTCAAACACAATACAGGATAATATAGAAACCATAATATTTAGTATTCCTAATAAGTTGTCAAAAATACCGCTACACGTAATTATGGACTTGAATAAAATTTTATTAAATTTATGCAATGTCTTCTAAACTTAAATGTCAGGATTGGCATTTTAGAAGCAAATCCGAACTAGTTACAGTAGAGTATACAGTAAATGAGAATTGCTGCCAATTTCAATCAAATATCTAATTGTCTTTCCTTAATTCGTTTAGAACCAATCCAATGTTAACAATAGAGCATATACTGTATATAGAATTGAAGAAATATCCGTGAAGAATGAATTCAAAAATTCCAGTTCTGGATTCTGGATTCAAGAGCTAGTTGCAATTCTATCAAATTAAATATAGTAAACAGATATAAATCTTTCCACGATATGAAACATTTAAGCAAAACTTTAATAATTTATTACCTGAACAGGTTAAAGAGGCAATTAAATATTTATCACAGTTTTGTTAATTTCTCCTTAATATCAATACTCCGAAATCGAATACGGATAAACCCGGATAAATTCTTGAATGCTATGGTGCTGGAAGCCTATACTCAACGGTTACACAAAGCGTTTCAATTTTTTAAATGGCTATAACTTTTCTTCTAAGAGGTTTTAAAAAAATCCGACCGGTAACTTTATAGAGATATATTAACTCTACATATGTGCCAAAAATCTTTTCAAAATCTTATCACTGTAAAGAGTTGATGCATTTTAAAAATTAAAATTCTATATGTAAATTTATAAATTTACATATAAAATTTTAATTTTTAAAATGCATCAACTCTTTACAGTGATAAGATTTTGAAAAGATTTTTGGCACATATGTAGAGTTAATATATCTCTATAAAGTTACCGGTCGGATTTTTTTAAAACCTCTTAGAAGAAAAGTTATAGCCAGCACCATACTAGACTTAGAGCACCCAGAAAATGGGTATGAGTCAGTAGAAATACGCCAAAATTTTCTAAGTAAATTTTCAAAACTATTAATTCAACAATAACTTTTAAAACCAATTCTGTAAACTTGTAGAATTCATTTAAAAATATATAATAAATTTGATCAAGCTTTTGTTGCATCTAATTGTTGTTTAGAATTTTATTACCGAGATTTAATATGTCTACTGTCTCGCTCTAAATATTTTTCAGTAATCTTTTACCTTAAGAGCAGGCATAGCGTGATAGTCAAAACACTGGTAAAAAATTGTTTATAAAATTAAATAAAATTGCATTATAATTAGAGATAAACGGTTAAACATCGATTAGTATGTAAAATTTCATAAATGAACGTTTTTAAATATGTCAAAATGGGATTGAAGTTTGATTTTACAATTTTGTGGCTAATTTTTTGTAGTGATTATAGGATTAGCGTAATTGCTTCTTCTATTTATCAGAATCATTTTTTAAATTCTTATGTCGTCAATTTCCAGCGTAGCGGGTAATAGTTTTATTATAGAAAACTTAAGTTATTACTATAATCCATAGGTTTTTATTCTTTTAATATTTGTCATAACTTTACGTTTCTAAAATAATGAATTTTAAGATTAATTTTTATGAAATGCTAATTTCGTCTTCACTCAATAACAAAATTAATACACATGAATATCTACTTATTTTGAAAATATGTGAGAGAATTGAAATCATATTTTTGTTTTGAAATTTCGAAATCAAAAAAAGAAAAAGGATTTATCCAGAGACAAAATAAACAAGCTTTTTTAGATGTTGTACTGTATATTATATCTTATTATATAAATAGGCTTGCAAATTAAATAAATAGGATTTATAGATCGCTGAGTACGTCAAAATTGGAAACCGTCTGAGCACTAGGAAAATGTGTACCGAAACGATATGAATAGAAACAAAATCATGTACGTACAGTACGTACGTGCGTACGTCATCTTGTTGACAAAATAAAATTAGATTGTGCTATTTAAATTATAATAAGTCAATAATGGTTTCGTTTGTTTTTTTTTTTGCAAAAAAAAAATGACGCAAAATTTGTCATAGGCATGTATTTTCGGTAATTAAAAGCAAGAAACCATCAAATTAGGACTTAGTTAATAAAATCATAGAATATATCAAATCTACTATGTCACTTCGCCAAATACTTTCGTCCTTATGAGTCACAAGTTGAAAATATTATGGCCAAATGCGAAAATGTACAATGTTCGACCGTTTAAAAAAGATAGTGAATTAGGTTGGTATTTTAAAATTTTTTTTAATTAATTATAATTCAGAATTTATTTAATAACTATGTATCAACGAAGATTTAATAAGATATAATATATAATGAAAATTTTTTCATTATTTCATTAGTAAATTAAAAATAATAGCCAACTTCTTGACGGCATTGAATATTTCAAGAAGGATACGAAAATCCAAATCTCTATTGTTAGACAAGTTAGCGTCTTATCCATTTCACCAAATTTCATCACAGTCAACGAATATTCGGAAAAGAAATTTTGATCAAGCAGAAATGAAGGGCATAAAAATGATTAAGCTGCATAAAGGATTACATAAATCGAAGAACGCTACAGAAAACAAACCAGAAATTATTAAATGTCGAAATTAATGTTTATTTGTATTATTCTCTCTCTCTCTCTCTCTCTCTCTCTCTCTCTCTCTCTCTCTCTCTCACTCTCATTGCATTAGATGTAATTGCTTTATATAATCGTTATTATTGAAAAATAAAGTCTTAGTAAAAAGAAAAAAAAAAATTTAATAAGTTGAAGACATTTTCCAGACCATCACGTGGTCTGGGTGCACCATTATACTAAAATTTAATCATAAGACTGCGGTTAGTAATGTGCCTTTTGTATGATACTTAAATTCGTAAGTTTCTCATTGTCTATCGGAATATTCTGTAAAGAACATATCATTAATGTAAATATGAATGCATCTATGTCTTAGACGTATAACACGCATAGCACTGTTATGAAAAAATAATTAGCACTCTAATAAACATTCGAGTATCCTTTTAAACCTTTCAAACGATCATCAATCTATGAATTTTCCATTGTGTTTTTACTACGAGACCAAAACTAGCTTCAACAATAGTTTCTGGCTTTGAAATTTACTAAATTCTATTGTAGTAATATTTTCTTTACTTGAAGACGCTCATTTCGATAATTTCCTTATTATTTTTTTTTCTACAATTAACTGTTTTACTTTTTTTTGGTTTAGTGTTATAACGCTTGGATTTTATTTCTTTATTTTTTGACTTTATATTTTACAAATCATACTACAAATGATGAAAATAAAGTATTACGCGTTTCCCTTTGCGAGTTTATTTATTAAATTATGATGCATCGAAAATTACGAGAAAGAAAAATAATATTCATAAATTAAAAAATACAGTACAAATTAGGAAACTTTGTATTATTAACTTTATAAAAAAAAACGTCATAAAACCAACGGAAATAAGCTAAATATTTTTAATTTACTGGACTTAATTACGCATAAATTTTATACGTTCACATTAACTATGCCATTTCTATTTTACTTACTTTGAACTATCTATTAATTCAATTAGTTACACTAGTAGGCTTAACTAAATTCTCTAAAATTGATAATTAACGAATCTTCATTACTTTCCAAATGATTAATAATTGATTGGGAAGTAGTAAACTTATAAAACTGATCAGTATAAATTTCTTTAGAGTAATTATCTTTATCGTTAATCACATCACTTAATTTGAAATTATCGTTAATCGCAATATTCGGTTGCTCTTCTGCAAAGGAAAAGTGGTTATTATAAATTTTATTATGTAATTAGCATTATCATAAAACATATTACTTACTCATTAGCTGTCTCACTTTTTTGTTATATTCAGTAAGCTCAGATAAAATCATTTTATCATTTTGCCATTCTGTAAAAGTTTCACAAATTTCTACAGCTGATGGCCGTTTTTCTGCATCATTTTCCCAACACCTTTTCATATAATTAATATAGCATGACTCAAGATTTTCAAAAATCGGAGGTCTTAATTCATTAAGAACTATTTGCACTTCAAGTCGCTCAGAATATTTATGAAGCCATGCGTAAACTTTAGTAATTGGTATTCCAAATAAAATTTCCCACATCATTATGCCAAATGAGTATATATCGGATGCCTTAGTATATTGTTGATTATTTAAAACCTCCGGAGGTATATAAGATAATACTCCATAAACTCCATTAGATTCAATCTTCGAATTTTTATTTGTTGAGACTGAAAGCCCTAAATCTGCAATACGTGCACTTTGTAAAGTTTCTTGCAAAATATTACCACTGTGTAAATCTCGGTGAATGTAATTTTGTGAATGCATTGCTTGAAGATCTGAAGCAATGCAATGCAAGAGTGCCAATTTATTTTCCCATTTCATTAATGCTATATAATAAAGATTTTCTCTTAAAGATCCCAATTTAGCATATTCTAGAACAATAATATAGTCTTTAGAATCTTTATGTTGCGATATTCCATGGCACCTTAAAAATGATGGCATATTATTATGAATTTCACAATACGCCTTCAACTATAGATATAATAAATAAGAATGCGAAAAGAAACAGTCAATTTTCTAAAAAATCATTACAAATACACCTCTTTTATAAAAAATCATTACAAATTCACCTCTTTTATAAATTATTCTGGACAATCCTTTGACCCGCGTATTAACTTAAGTGCGGCATCAGCTATAGCTTCAGTTTCTAAATTGAAAAAATTATAATAAGTTTGTCTAAATTGACACCTATATACTGTTGCAAATCCACCTTTCCCCAATTCTTCAATGTTTTCAAATTTTTCATAAGAAATCCACAATGGCGGATGTTCAAATTCAAGTAGAGTTATTTTTACATTGTTGTCTACATCGGAACTTTCATACATCCGTTCATTTGAGGCTAAGGATATTTTTAAATTAATTGAATAAATAAACGAATGAATTCTTGCTTAAAAAATTAAAAATACCTGATGATTTTTCTCGATTCCTATTGAATTTAAATTGTCATTAATAAATTGCAAAATTAAACTTAATAATGTAAACAATCAGGCTAAGTAACCTATTTACATTTTATTATACCAAAGATTTGCCTTCTTTAAGTCTCTAGTTGTCCCAACTCCATTCCTATAGCAATAACCTAATTGAGATATTCCACGAGTTTCACCCATCTCGGCAGATTTTTGGTAACAAACAAATGCCTTATGTTCATCCTTTTCAATTCCAATTCCATGTTCATAATAAAATCCAACCATAGACAATCCAGTAGCGTTATCCATTTCTGCAGATTTTTGGTAATAAATGAATGCCCTATGTTCATCCTTTTCAACTCCAAGTCCAAATTGATAACAATATCCAACATTAATCATTCCATTAGCTTCGCCCATTTCTGCAGATTTTTGATAATAAACGAATGCCTTATGTTCATCCTTTTCAACTCCAGCTCCAATATCCAACATTAAACATTCCACTAGCGTCACCCATTTCTGCAGATTTTTGAAAATAAATGAATGCCTTATGTCCATCCTTTTCAACTCCAATTCCATGTTTATAACAACTTCCAACATTATTCATTCCAACAGCGTCACCCATTTCTGCTGATTTTTGGTAATAAGTGAATGCCTTATGTTCATCCTTTTCAACTCCAATTCCATTTTGATAACAATTTCCAACATTATTCATTCCAACAGCGTCACCCATTTCTGCAGATTTTTGGCAATAAATGAATGCCTTATGTTCGTCTTTTTCAACCCCAACTCCATTCCTATAGCAATAACCTAATTGAGATATTCCAAAAGTTTCCCCCATCTCAGCAGATTTTTGATAATAAATGAATGCCTTATGTTCATCCTTTTCAACTCCAATTCCATTTCCATAAAAAAAAATCCTACATTAGTTAATCCTCTAGGATCACCCATCTCTGCAGATTTTTGGTAATAAATAAATGCCTTATGTTCATCCTTTTCAACTCCAATTCCAAATTGATAACAATATCCAACATTATGCATTCCTCTAGAATCACCCATTTCTGCAGATATTTGATAATAAATGAATGCCTTATGTTCGTCTTTTTCAACTCCAATACCATTTTGATGATAATTTCCAATCTTAAGCATTCTATTAGATAATTCTCGATAATTCTTATCCTTTGACGTTGATTGGCATATTTGCAGGGTATCAACCAACTGATGAGTGCATTTAGTAGATTTTTCATAAATCAGATTAACGATATTAAAGAAATGAGAGAAATTAATTTTCTTTAAGATAGGTGCAAATGGAAAAAGGTTGAAAGCATATTTTAATATGCAACAATGAATCGTGTGTGATGACTAACGAAAAACATAAAATTAAAATTAACAATAAAACATTAATACAAAATAAAATTATTGTAAACTTTTTCACAATTATCCTAACCTCATCATTGCTTTCCTCTAAAATATTTATTATTTCCTGTACGTTTTCCTCATTCATCCATTGGCTAAATTGATCAAGTTGATCAAGCTCACGAAATTTAATTACAATTACTTTCAAATTTTCATTATCTATTTCTTTAAAATTTTTCTATCAGTAAATGTAGCATAAACATGTACCGACATATTAATTAATTAGTATACCTATATGCTTACCTTCCTCGGAATTTTCAATTGACAAGTCTGGCGAACCATAAAAAGGCTTGAACGAAAGTGTTTGATTTATTCCTTCTTCTCTCATTAAATTATTAAAATTTTCAATTCTGGTCTCTTTAATGATTTTCAATAAGCTAAATAAAAGCACTTTTCCAATTAGCTCTACTATTGAAGTGTCAGCCTAAATACACAGTATAGGTGCTCAGAATATTTATTCGATTAAGGAATTTATCATTAATTAATATAAACAAATTATAAATTAGCCAACCTTCCTAGTAATCCATTGAATAAAGTCCGCACCTTTCTTCTGCAATTTTACATCAGTTTTAGGACCTTAATGAATAAATGCAAATATGAATAACACATTTCAATAAATAAATATAATGCTAATGAATTAATTTTAGCTTACTATATAGACAATCGAATTAAACATGTAACATGAATGGAAAGATATTTGCCGCTAACATTGATTTGCAGAGATAGCTCATTATTTCGAATTTAAGTGATTGTAATTGACATAATGATTCTTTTTCGCCTATTTTATATATAAATTAATTTTTAATATTGACATAAAGATATTGTATTATTATTACATACATGATAGTAATCTACTGCATTCATATAGTGAATATAAACTATCCACTACCTATGAAAATTTTCATTAGCATTCTCTTTTTTGCAACTTTTGATAAATGAGAAACATTCATTAAATATACAATAAACCTCTTTTGCTTCTAAATCTGTAAATTTAAGATTTAATTTTTGAAAAAACTGAAAAAAAGGTATAATCTTAATTAATAATTTAATAATATAAAATTATATAATAAGAATGATTACATTAAACATGCCTCAAAAAATATTTGGAATAAAATTTTTTTCAGATTATGAGATTTCAATTCAATATTTTTAAATAATGGTACTATATGCGTAATTTTATCCTACAGATTTGAGGAAGAATTTTAAAGGTAAGGTTCAATAATATATAGCCAATATTATATAATTCAGTTATAAGAATTCAATATAATATTCTAACGTTGATTTTAGCAACGCTATCCTTATCTCTTGTAATAATTTCATCATACAGTCAGACATCTCTAAGTACACGCCTTTGGAACCACAGGGAAAAAAATAATATGTGCGCTTTTAAAGAGGTGAAATTTTATAATTTGGACCAAATAAAGGCATGTGTTTAGAGAGGTTTTTCATATAGCGTGTATTAGGGAGGGTGTACTTAGAGTAGTCAGACAGTATTAAATTGTCAGAATTTTGAAATTTCAAGCTTGAAATGGATACCTTTTCAGTTAGACAATCGTAAGCCATTTTAAAAAATACAATTGTAAAATTCTTAACCAAAGCAGAACGCATAAAATTTTCAGAATAAACAAGCTCAGCAAGCAAATTCCATGGAAGCTTAATAGCTTTTGTCATTCTTTTTTTTATGTGATTAAGTATCTCCATGGCCTGATTTAAAATAATAATAACAAATTGTTAAACTTACATAAATCATGAATGCCATATCTGATATCATCATTTTAATAGTCTTACCTTTTTTTCGCGCAATTTCATGAGGACTTGCAAGCTCTTTTAGGACATGACTTAAAAATTTTGTTAACTTTTCCTCAAATTGAAAATCATTTTCAGCATAGGCAAATTGAATCTCAATATATTCTAGGAATTCTATTTCGAGTTAAATTATAATTGATTAATCTTTTATAAAATCTCTTATAAAATCTCTTAAAAGTAAATTACAAGAATGCCTACGTATTTTAGCCATTACGTATTTAATTTTTAAATCTGATTTTAAAATTCGAATAAAATCATGAAGTTATTTTATATTTAACGTTAAATTATGATCCCCTGAATTCTCGTCCCAATCAGACTGTATGCTAGTGTATGCATACGTAATTACACGTAAAACAAAGTAATTTAGCAACGAAAATTAATAGTCATGCAAATGACGGAGTGTACCAGGAACGTAGTTAGTGTATGGTTACCTGCCATCTAGAATGACGAGTTCGCAAAATCTTGCATTTGATTGGACGTTATAATTCTATGATTTCACATGTCATTGTACATACAGTACCGGATTTAGTATTCGTGTTACCCCGAGAACGTAGTACGTACGTATGTACGTACATACATATTAATATGTATAGATGTGATCCGGTCATAAATTTTATTATTATTATATGTAAAAAACTGGGTTTTACATATAAAATTTATGACCGGGCCACATCTCTATAATAATAATAGTATGGAATGGAATTTCTATATCAATTCACAATTTGCAGAGAATTTAATTACAGGCAAGATTATTTTTACAGTCGATTAATTCGCGATAATATATTTTTTTTTTTACATTTCTGGGTTGTACGATCAGATCCGAAAATGTGATCTGAAATGTGGGAAATTAATTACGACATTTTCATGTGGGTTATCTTCTTGATATAGTTAGGAGGATTTATATATTTAAATATCAAGAATGAGATTTATGTAGCATGTAGATCATGTATTAATTAACTCCTACTCTAACCCAACACTACTTCATTGGGTCATAATATGAAAAAATTCGTTCTTCCTTAGTAAATGATTGGCTTGTATGTGCATTATTTCATTATTACAATCAATGGGCTTGCCATTTAAAGCAAAATCGAGGTTTAAATTTTAGCCAACATTTGATAAAAAATATATGAAGATGGTTCCTTTTACCTTTTTTGATGTTCGCCATGCTGTTTTTGAAAATTCCTTTTTTGGTAGGAATAATGAATTTCATTTATTCATTTTAGAAAATGCTAATACTTTT